ATTACGCACATGCATTCACATGCGCAAGCGTGCAATGCTTAAATTTGAATGAACTTGGTACACATCTGGGTAAACGTTGTTAAAGTCTTAAATGCATAGAGTTTGTCCTATTTAATGAAGCCTCCAGGGAATATGGCACCAAAAGGGAGTTGGGGAGCGTTTGGGGAACATCTGTAACGGTCCCCGTTACAATTAGCACTAGTTATTAAAATCCTTCTTTTTTCCAATTTTATCGATTGATATGTACCGGTACATGTAGATATAGTTTCCTTGATTTCATTATGTAATATGTATGTAAATCTAAAAAGATCTGAAAAGTTATTTAATCGCAACACCACTGAAATAACAGAACAAGTTCTAGTGTTATTTTCTCTCTTCAGTTTTATTCTAATTCTCCTAGTGCAACAATTACTAGAATCATTGCTGATCAAATATGAGACCATTGCTCTTGTTCTGTGAGTTGGTTGACAACGCCGTGAAAGCGCACAGTGATTGCCAACGGACGCTGTAGAAACGCGATGGGACCGCAATTATCGCAGTGACAACTCCGTGAACATTGTCGTTGTGTAATCGCAGTCAAAAAAATAACAAGACGATTAATCGCATCACAAGCGCCGTGAAAGCGCGGTAGAAACGCAGTGACATCTCCAAGGACTCCGTAGAAACGCAGTCTACTATCAATGCGTTCATGCTGCGATCATGTGCGTCTTCACGGCGTTCGCACGGAGCTCGCACTGCGTTGTTGGAGATCTCACCGCGATGCTACGGCGATCATACTGCGTTTCTACTGCGCTCTTATCAGACCGCGATCGCACGGCGCGTACTTTGTGCATGCCTAACGTGATCGCCGTCCCTTGGCGTTCTAGAGGACCCTACGGCGTACAGTGGAGATCTCGCCGCGTTGTCACGGCACTGTAGGAGACTCTACTGCGATCATCTCGGCGTTTTGCATTTTTTATGGACGCCGTGCGATCGCCGTGAGGACGCAGTCCCGGTGTGACGGGGGTTTAAGAGATAAATACGAAACACAATCGATTTGGCTTTTGGTCCTCTTGTTGAATATTTGATCAAAACATGACGACGTTGTTAATAATGCTCCTGATAACAAGAATAGGTAACTGAGGTATTCATTTAAACATGTGAATATTCAATTGATTTCCGTTAACTACGGAGAGACACACATAATTCATAAAAAAATTATATGTTTTAAAACAATGTCATTGCAATATATCACTTCTTTTAAGATATATCTTCACCTACACTTAAGTCTGCTGTTTTAATTTCTTTTTTAAATATCGAAAATTTCTACCATTTATATTACTGCTACAATGTCACTTTAGAAGGTCCCAATACACGTAGAATTATTTCTTTTGATAATCTGTGTATTGTGCCGGATGATGAAAAAGCTGTCGATAATCATTAAAGCGAACAAAACAAGAACTCAGTATTGATGGGCATTAGTGGCACTTTATCATGCTGTACCTGTGTTTCAATATACCTATAACCAAGGCGTGACTATGGAATCAATATTGTCTCAATTATAGCCCATCGATCGACTAGTGAGCAATGGAATCATTTGGAGGCCTTAAAAGCTCCGGTCTTTGTTTCTTGTTTTCAATGCCAGTCAAAGCCCCCATCCTTATTTTATTGTTCTTCTGTATGACGTAGGTCTTGGCTCTTGATATTCTAAGCTTCCATTCTAAGGAGACATTATATTTCTTGTAATTGAAAATCCAATATATTCAAAGACTCCACAGATTTTTGACGAGCCTTTCCTTTACGGACAAACTCTGACAGAACATTTATCTCATTTTAATCAAGAAGCTTTATTAAAACATCATTGAATTCCTCATTTTGAAGAGTTGTTAATTGGTGACTCAACTTTGTTAAAGATATAAATAATAATCTAAAAAACACTAAAAACTCTTCCCTGACATTATGGAGGCTCGAATTTATTTTATTACAGAACCACTTTTTATGTAAATATCAAATATTAAAAAAAACAAACAAAAAAAAAACCGAAACTTTCCTATCAATATAGTATGACACATAAAACGTATGTATACGTAAGTTGCAATTGTGACTGTTCCTTTGCTAAACGCCCGGCATTAAAAGTAAATGTCACGGGTCTTTCGGATGAACTTTAAAAACTGAAGCCAGGTGCGATGTTAGGTGTTGGTACAATAAAGACCCCTTACTACGCTCTTGTGGGTTGTTGAAAACAATCGCATATTCTGGAGGCTCGGCTCGGAAATTATGTAACCGGATGTCAAAATTTTAAACTGAATGCAGTATTTCCTATATTTTTTAAAGAACGGAATGTCCCATCTAGAGGACCTGTTAGGTGGTATCATTACATGCAATATAGTGAAGCTCCACAAACTACAAATATGAAAACATCCTACGTTTAATAGGATATACTTGAAAAGACGCCTACTTAACACATTCGAGACATTTTCCGATTGTACGTAAGGCCCAAGAAAAGTTGCCATTGTACGAAAGTCGAATATGTTTGCTGTAAAAGTTTTTCATTTATTTCATTGTTTAAAGTCTGCTCGTGTCAAAGAAGCTTATTTGCTCATGATCTAAACTTCGTCTATTTAACAGGTTTACAGGATTTTTAATCCTGGAAAAAAAGAGACAAAAAGAACGAAAAGAAAATTGCAAGAAAAAGTAAACTACTGTAATATTTTATAGCAGTTACAAAAAAAAAATCGTTTCTATATTTTAAAGTTGACCGAAACATTATAAATGTTACAGATTGTGTTTTATCCTGTTTTTTTCTTTGCCGTGCACGGTTTTTATAAGGAAGGAATAATGTCTGTAAAAACTGTTGTAAGAGTACACGTACATAGTCAAGAATAATTGAAGATCTGAACAATTCAGCATGCCCCATGTACGTGTATGCTGGATTATTGTTTAAGTTTGTTCCTAAAACAGCAAAGGTTTTTCAAAGAAGAATACTTATGTAAAACATGCACAATTCATATCCACAAAACGGTGCACTTTTTATTTCTTGTGCAATGTCACCAAAAAGTTCTGTAGTGTGCTACCATAAAAATTTGTTTGCTAAAATAAGTCAATGTTGTTTTTGGTTCAGATCGATATATTTGGTTTATATTTTCAGATCTATAATCTGTAGAAGCCTTGTATATTGTAGCTGAGTCTTTTGATAGATTTTTAAAAAACTTTTTATTCTGTTCACTGCTAGGTCCGCGACCGTGACTTTAAATGAAACATTAGATAGCAAAAATACCAGTCACATAGGTTCATTTGATCAGTTTTGTGATCCGTAGAATTAATAAGTGGAAGGCCCTTAATCTCAATTGAGTACAGAAATGCAGCTTAAGGCTCAAATCTTCATACATGAGTTTTGTTAAATCACAGCTACATGAACCTTTATAATTGTGCCTCTTGAAAAGCTGCAATACCAGTAACTGTAGGTGTATGTGCACTTGCTCATAAAATGTTTGGGTGTTATTTTAGCTAAAATCTATATTTTGAGTATTGATTAGCTAAAACTTTTAAAATAGCTTTATGTACTTGTACTTATACTTTTATACTAAAATATATATTATAATAATATATTTCTCTTTTACTGGTATATACATATAGTGAGTTTTCTCACAATACGTGCTAAAGGGAAATTAATGTAGTTTGCTTTTATGCAACTTTCTGTTGTAAAATGTAGATATTGTTTGAACCTGAATTTTGAATAACTGAAAAAGTCGAAAGATAAGAGGTCGAAAATCAATACAGTATATGGAAAAAAAAATATAAGGACGATCAAATATACCAAATACTTAGTACTAAGCAATGACTTCGTGTGGTTTAAATGAACACATTGGTTTTGTTTTCTCTAAATTCGATTTTGTTCCTCCATTTATTCTTTCTTTACAACTTATAGACTAATTTACATAAATTTCTGTAGATTCTGCACATCAATACAAATTCCAATATTGTATCTTTTGTGTTTGGGATTACTCATTGATATTGTCTTCTGTCCAATCATATTAATTTACACGAATAAAGTATCATTCGAGTTAAATTGAAAACACTCATTTAAACTATTTTTTTAATGTAACAGAATAACAAAAAACAGTTCAGTGTAAACATGTCCGTTTACATCGTTCAACGACCTTCGAAATTGTTTTTTTTTCACTCCATCAAACATGATTATTTCATGGGCTAGGCCATTTATTTGTTTTTATTTCCCATGATAACAATTGTCCTCTGCACTGTATTATGAATACAAAGAAATACCCCATTACGGTTCTTATATCGCTGATATATGATGTTTGAGAATGACAGATGCATTCGGATGATTAATGAGAAAATAATTAATTTGAAATCCTATTACTTTTTGTTCACCGATATTTCTTCTTCACTATCTACCATTATTTTCTTGCAATTATTATTATATATAATAACAAAAATAATGATATTCTTTATTTAATCTGAGCAAAATAATTAATTTGAAATATTACACAAACACAGTTTTTGTAAAATTTAACAGTAAAACCATGTCACATTAACAAAAATTTTATAACGTGCTTATCTAAATGATAGGGAAAATATTACCATGTGAAGATATATACAAATTTTGCACCTCATATTAATTGAATTTATTCACAGATTAATTTAATATGATTGATTTATTTACCGATGATTGTTTTTCCGCCCACTAAATACTAGTATTGTGCATTTAACATTCAGGAAGTGACATGTCCCTCCAGTTTATGTCATTCTTGTTACCAAAAAGAAAATGTTAAAATAAAAGTTATCACTTTCCTATCTACCATTATTTTCTTGCAATTATTATTATATATAATAACAAAAATAATGATATTCTTTTACGTTGTTAGTACATGTATTGATCAATTCCTCTTCACTTCCTTCCAATGTGATAACGCAAATGTAATGTATGGACAACATTTTTTAATGTAATGTTATGAGGGAGATATTTTCCAGAAATTGTTCAGTGTTTTTTTTTCTTACAGATTGTTAACAAGATAATGTACACCGGAAGTTCCGACCATACTGCGCGCGCTTGGGTGACTGAATTTGGTGATTGTACCAGGATATTCAAAGGTCACAAGCACACAGTCAGTGTTATTAAGGTCAAAGATGGACTAGGTATGTCTAAAAATAGTATAAATGAAATATTCCAGATAATCAATTAAAGGTTGGATACAAGTGTTGCCTCCATTGGAAATTGTTGTTAAATTGTTAATTTTTGTTATGCAAAATAATTCTATTATAATTATAATAAATAAACATTAAATCCGAAATTCAAAAGATATTTTGTTTACAGTTGCATCGAATGTTTTAAGCATTCACCAATATATTGTAAGCCAATTGCATTAAAGTTTCAGTGACCTTTTCTGATTACGTCAACGTCATTTACGATATGTATATATGCTTTGAGTCGAACAGCAAATGTATGTATGAAAGCAAATGTCTACAAAGCAAATATGTATACATATTTGTATCAAGGATCGCTAAATGTTTAAAATTCTTTTCCTTTAGACAGTACTAGAGGTAACACTGAAATAATTGCTGTACTAACTACACATCTGCATGTTAAGGAGCAAAATATTAAAACAAAAGTTTCTTTAAAAGGTTGACAATTTTCCTAAACATCATTGATGCGGTTTACTTATACAAACATAACAGAAATTCATCTCCCAGCTCTAATTTCTCCTAATATCAAACCTAACAAACAATCAGTAGGATCTAAGGACATCGGAAAGCACGATGATTTTTTAAACAGCCTTTGTAATTGTGTTCAGATATTGAAAGCGACCTAAGAGGCTAAAAACTGAATTATTATGGCAAATTTGGACGCGAATGTAAAAAAATAAGCGTATGTGGTTAAAAAAAAGTTAATTAAAAAGTAATAGATTTTAATATTCAGGATGAGAATCTAACTTAAGGAGTTTTTGATGGATATTTTAAAATAAAGATGAAGATAAAAGCTGCTCTATAATTTCAGTTTACACAGCATGCGGAGATGCATGCGCAAGAGTTTTTGATGCAAAGTCTGGCACTTTGAAACGAGAGTTCAAAGGTCACAATAACACAGTGACAGCTTTACAGGTCCGTTAGCGATTGTCGTTTATGTATATATATTTTTTAAACTAGAAAGTTACTATTTAGCTTTTTATAGATGTCTTCAGCTTCTCTTTAGACTTTATCTTTCACATTAATACCTCTTGTAGTTTCTATGAAAATTAATCTTGCAATTACTAATTTTTACAATGTAAAGCATTTTTTTTTAACTTTGATATTTTGGAATGTCTACAAGTACAAAAATTCTTCATGTCGAAATTTATTCTAAAATCTTTATTTGTTAGCTTGTGCAAGATAAATTTTCGGCAGTTAGATACTTTGATAAATTTCTGAAGATTTTGTATCTCTATCATTGCCTCTTTAAGTGTACACGGGGTCGGGTGATTGTACGATAAGAAGCTACGATGCCAAATCAGGCGATTTGAAAAAAGTATTTATTGGTCACGAGTTTGCAGTTACCGCCCTTGAGGTAACAACCGCTATGTTGCAAAGCCAAAGCATGTTGGTTAGTGTGTTTGTCTGATGCATGCTGGGATAATGTCTTTGTCTAATGCATGCTGGGATTATGCTTTTGGCTCTTGCATGTTGGGTGGCAAGCTTGAAAACTATCTAAAAGGGTTCATAACATCGTATGCGACTGTCACTGGTCTGCTTTTTTGCTGTACAAAAGCTACTAACAGTATGTTTAATATTAATTCCTGATTTTATACTTGGTTAAATTGCACCATGTTTGACTTTTAACACTTTTTCACCTCTGTAACATTTCCTGCAAGCAAATAGTAATTGCACTGTTGCTAATTGTGTAAATATTGTATTCATGTTGTGTGCACATCTTAATTTTCTTGTTGTGAAGGTGTTGTTTATAATTAAGTTCTTACGAAAGTACAGTTTTGACCATTTAATATATTTTTTTAAAAATTACATTACCTCAATTTTCTACATCAAAATAAGTTGTTGAATAAGAAATTTTTACTTGATAAAAAAATATTAAAATGAGTATAAAGCGGTGCAAGTACAGTGTACTTGTGAAATGCGTGAAATAGGTTTTTTTTTTGGTAGCATTATTGTAATGTCGTGTCTCAATTTGTACAACCATATAGGTAGTTGGCGGGAAACTGTTCACTGGATCATATGACGGGTTCTTGAAAGTTTGGGACGCAACCGGAATCAAGGACGACACAACATTCGGAAAGGACGAGAACAAAAACGAAAAAGAAAAGGTCGAAAAACAACAGAAAGTGGACAATAATCAAAATGGAATCGACAACAAGATCATGATTGACTGACCGATACATGGAAAAATTCTAGATTTGCACATATTGGGAGCGTTTAACTGCAATAATGGAAAATGAGAAAAGAAAAAAAAACTTTGATAAAGTGGTTATTTTTTTTTCCATATGTGTATAGAATTGTTATACTTGTATCATGTATATTTATATATATAGAATGATTACCACATTTAGATGTGTTGCTATGCTGTCATCTCCATTGTAATATTGTAATATACTCTATTTTGATTGTTGACATACAAGATCCTTTTTGTCACATTTGGGATAATGCCACTTTATGTATCCTTTATTTAATCCGGGGAAAAAACTAAACCCGTATGTAAATGTATTTTATGATAATCTACCAAGATATACAAATATCTGTATTTTTATAATTCAATGCATTCCTTTTGTATTGGCAGACATATGGCTTTAGGGTTGTTTTAAATTAACAACATACTGAGTATCGATGACAATCTTTTTCACTTCTCTCTTTTCATTAGTTGTTTTCGTTGTGCAATACTGTTTAGCTAGCGAATTGAGGCAGATTTTCGCAGCAGGAATGATTTGTATCACGGTCTACTACATTATATGAATTGACCCCAAGCACTAGCTTCATCAATTATGAACTATTGTATTGATTCGTGTCATGCAGTTTGGAGCTAGGTTGCATAATCCCGATTGATTTATGTTATTTGGTACTTAATTTTGTTATGAATGTTTACACAAGTACATTTTTTCATTCAATGTCAATTATTATCTTTTTGTATTCGTTTATTATTGCAACATAATTTTATTACTTTATTTAGAAGTCTGGGTACACATGTAACCGCGTTATCCTCGAGCTGTTTCTGATAATGAATGAACTTTGTATCTCGGAGCAAACCGTCCTTTAGGAAAAATGTTCTTTGACAATCGTGATTTTATAATGTTGACATTTTTGCAGGGATTTCTTTTCTCATATCGGAATTTTATAATGAGACAGTTGGAAGAACATACAGTAAATACAAAAATTATTAACCGTTTCGAATATTATACCCTGTCACGTGCCGTCCACTCAAAGCAAGCTCATTTCAAAATTATTAACTTAAAACGTAAGCATTATAAAAAACATTTTCGATGAAATATTCTGAAAATATTTTGATACAAAAAATTTAACCTTTGTATGTTATCATGGTCATGATCATTTGTCTAATGTGTATTCAAAGACAAGAACACCGCTGCATTGTAGAACATTACAAATTCAAATTTACTGTATCCATTTATGTTGGTAAATATTTGTACGTTGACAATAAGCACGTTAAAATTTTTTTCTTCTGATAAAAAGTGCAATGATTATATAGATCATAAGTTGAAAAATATTGTATGTGAATTTTCTCTGTGCAGAATATTGCAGTTTTTTTGTTAAATTTCAACTGATATC